CCAAAAAGCAATTTCATGAGGCAGCCAAAATAGTAGTGATAAGGGAAATTATTTAGCATGAGTTCATGGCCTGAATCAATCCCAGTCTTTTAGAGATATAGCCGAATCAGATTTGATAGTCAGCCTCCCTGTAATAAAGAAGATACTCTCCAGACTAGGCTAGGAAGGAGAGGTATTGCATCTCTTACTAGCCTTTATTGTTCTGCTTACTCTCACCCCTTGCCCTCCTTCCTTAAATCCAAGTTTGAGTATTTAATGATAGTTTCAGAAAATGAAAGAACGGAAAATGAGGCAGGTGAGGAGATGGCAAAGCAGCTGTTGGCTAAGAGTCCATATCTTTGTCCTAATGTTTTTTTTTTTCTTTTTCTTTTTTTTTTTTTTAAACAGAGTTTCACTCACGTTACCCAGGCTGGAGTGCAATGGCGCGATCTCGGCTCACCGCAACCTCCGCTTCCTGGGTTCAGGCAATTCTCCTGCCTCAGCCTCCTGAGTAGCTGGGATTACAGGCACGCACCACCATGCCCAGCTAGCTTTTTTTGTATTTTTAGTAGAGACGGGGTTTCACCATGTTGACCACGATGGTCTCGATCTCTTGACCTCGTGATCCACCCGCCTCGGCCTCCCAAAGTGCTGGGATTACAGGCGTGAGCCACCGCGCCCGGCCTGTCCTAATGTTGTACTGAGAAGGTAGCCATAGGAATATTCCCTTGTAGGTTATTTGTCACTGCATCTCCTCAGGCATTAGTGAGCTCTGATTTCCTGGAGATTCCAGAAAGCTGTACAACTGTTGTGATGTATCTAATACTATTTCTTCTATAGTTGTTGATGTTCAGTTCCTTTTTTGTGTGTGTATGATGGAGTTTTTTGCTCTTGCCTAGGCTGGAGTGCAATGGTGCGATCTCGGCTCACTGCAACCTCTGCCTTCTGGGTTCAAGTGATTCTCCTGTCTCACCCTCCCAAGTAGCTGGGAATACAGCCATGGGCCACCATAGCCAGCTAATTTTGTATTTTCTTTTTTTTTCTTCTTCTTAATTTTGCATTTTCATTAGAGACAGGTTTTCTCGATGTTGGTCAGGCTGGTCTCGAACTCCCGGCCTCAGGTGATTCGCCTGCCTCAGCCTCCCAAAGTGCTAGGATTAGAGGTGTAAGCCACCTTGCCTGGCTGATGTTCAATTTCTGGGTAAACTTGAAGCTTTCTTTTTTTTTGAGATGGAAGCTTTACAGAAAGTTGGAACTTTTGAAAAACTTGAGTGACTAAGAAATGGTCAAGCAGTATCACACAGAATTCCCCTCTGTCATGGTGCTTTAAAATTCATTTTCTTTTTTTTTTTTTTGAGACGGAGTTTCGCTCTTGTTACCCAGGCTGGAGTGCAATGGCGCGATCTCGGCTCACCGCAACCTCCGCCTCCTGGGTTCAGGCAATTCTCCTGCCTCAGCCTCCTGAGTAGCTGGGATTACAGGCACGCGCCACCATGCCCAGCTAATTTTTTTTTTTTTGTAGTTTTAGTAGATACCGGGTTTCACCATGTTGACCAGGATGGTCTTGATTTCTTGACCTCGTGATCCACCCGCCTCGGCCTCCCAAAGTGCTGGGATTACAGGCTTGAGCCACCGCGCCCGGCCTAAAATTCATTTTCCTGCATGAAAATGAATCAATGACTCATTACCAGGAGTGGTAACTCCCTCCCGTAATCCCAGCACTTTGGGAGGCAGAGGTGGGTGAATCATTTGAGGTTAGGAGTTCGAGACCAGCCTGGCCAATATGGTGAAACCCCATCTCTACTAAAAATACAAAAAGAATTTAGCTGGGCGTGGCGGCGCATGCCTGTAGTCCCAGCTTAATTGGGAGGCTGAGGCAGGATAATTGCTTTAACCTGGGAGGCAGAGGTTGCAAGGAGCTGAGATCGCACCACTGCACTCCAGTCTGGGCGACAGAGAGAGACTCCATCTCAACAACAAAGCAAGCAAGCAAACGATACCTTCACGTACAAGGCACTGAGCTGACAGACACAGTCACAGCCTTTGCTCAGATAGGTGTAAGATAAATACCAGTTTAATTACGTGACAATAATCATTTGCTCCCAAAATAAAAGGATTCTAGGAGTTCAGAGAGAATCCCAATGCATTCTGTATAAACAGAAAAGAATACAAGTTGGGAGGCTGGGTCCAGCACTTTGGGAGTCCGAGGCAAGAGACCAGCCTGCGCAACAGAGCAAGACCTGATCTCAAAAAAAAAAAAAAAAAAAATTTTTTTTTTTTTTTTAATTAGCTGGGCATGGTGAAGGTGCACCTGTAGTCCTTAGCTACTTGGGAGGCTGAGGTGGGAGGACTGCTTGAATCCAGGAGTTCAAGGCTGCAGTAAGCTATGATTGCGCCACTGCACTCTAGGCTTGGGAGTCAAAGCTAGACCCTGCTTCAGAAAAACAGAAACAAAAACAAAAAACACAGCAGTGAAATTATCCTCACTTTTACTTACTACTATTTTTCTTGAGACAGAGTCTTACTCTGTCACCCAGGCTGGAGTGCAGTGGCGCGATCTCGGCTCACTGCAACCTCAGCCTCCTGGGTTCAAGCAATTCTCCTGCCTCAGCCTCCTGAGTAGCTGGAACTACAGGTGTGCACCACCACGCCTGGCTTATTTTTGTATTTTTAGTAGAGATAAGGTTTCACTATGGTGGCCAGGCTAGTCTCTAACTCCTGACCTCAGGTGATCTTCCCACCTCAGATGATCTTCCCGCCTCAGCTTCCCAAAGTGCTGGGATTATAGGTATGGGCCACCATGCCCGGCCTATCCTCACTTTTAGAGTCCCATGATTCTGAAACTGCAATTTGACCTGTCCTTTTAAAGTAATTTTTACCTTTAGCAGCAAGTGCAAGCAGGCGAGAGCCAATATAACACATTATCTTTGTGTGTCTAGTCATAAGATACTCCATAAACAGTAGAAGAACATCTCCCACTAGAGAAAACTTAAGGCTTGCCTTAACAGGTCATCTGTTGTGGGGCAAGTTTAAAAAGCTGTTTCTGGAGCAGGTAACCGGAATGGCCTTCAGGAGCATCTCAGTGTTTCTGACCTAACACCATTCCTCAGAGCTTTGAATCCTTTTCAGCTTTCTCCACTTGAATGTGAACATCTACAGATCTACAACTCAGAAGCCAGGATGCTTAATGGGTACTTCCCTCATTTCTCTTGCTCTCAACTGGTGTCTATGGGGGAGTATCAACTACTTGCAAAGCCATTTCCCCATCAATTACTAGACAGTGGGGAAAGTGAAATTTAAAAATCATTAAGACATGTAAAAATCTCCCACAACTGGTTTTCATTTGTGAAATACTTAAGCAGTTTATAAGCTACAAAGCCAGAAATGACTTCATTCAACAGATTTGACTTCTCCAAACTGTGTGGGTGCAGCACTCCAAGGGGAATTATTCAGGATTCAAAGCTCAAAGAGAAAACGATCTAATTTTTCACTCCTTACACTAATATTCTCAAAAATGAAGTCCAATGACATTTAGCAATGTTAAGTAGGGACTAGGATTTATAAAGTCGCCTTTTAATGAGAGTGTATATACTGTTTCTTAGTGTGTTCCCAAACGTAAGAAGTCTGCTTGTGTTAACAAGATGAGTCTAAGATTAACGTATTGAGTACTGTTCAGAATAATCATGGGACTCAACTGCTTCAACACTATTAGAAAACAGTAAATGTTGAGAATATTCAAGTTGAACAAATTCACACAGGAGTTAAATCGGCCAAACGAGTATAACAAAGACACACCTTTCTCACTCTCCAATTTGTCATGGTTTCCTTAAAAATCACGAAATCTAGGCCGGGCGCAGTGGCTCACGCCTTTAATCCCAGCACTTTGGGAGGCCAAGGCGGGTGGATCACGAGGTCAAGAGATCGAAACCATCCTGGTCAAAGTGGTGAAACCTTGTCTCTACTAAAAAATACAAAAATTAGCTGGGCATGGTGGCGCACGCCTGTAGTCCCAGCTGCTCAGGAGGCTGAGGCGGGAGAATTGCTTGAACTCAGGAGGCGGAGGTTGCAGTGAGCCGAGATCGTGCCATTGCACTCCAGCCTGGGTAACAAGAGCGAAACTCCGTCTCAAAAAAAAAAAAAAAAAAAAAAAAAATCACGAGATCTTTGTTTTGCTTCAAGGCAAACTGTCAGGTCGACCAAAAGGACAGATTAAGAGCAAAAACACTTCGATGCAATATATCTTATTCAGGAAGGTTTAACTTGCCGTTAATCCGTGCCACAAAAAAAAAAAAAAAAAAAAACAAAAAAACTAGGCTCTGTGGCAGGTATAACGGAGGACACGGCGGTAAAAATGTGGAATTTTCAATGATGAGACAAATGCAAAACCTGGTAGGCCTAAGAAGGAGCACCTATGAAAGTGACAAATAGGGGGAAATGGTGGGCAAGGGAAACAATGGCTGGAGAGCGAAAAAGGGAAAGCTCAGGAGGAAATTTTAGAAAGCTATAAATAGCCGAGCCACAGCAGAGCCGCCAGGACCTTGTAGTTCTAAGATCTACGGGGAAACAGGCACCCAACGGCTGCGTCTCAGGTTTCCGCGGGTCACAAAAGAATAACGGACATCCACCCAACGGTGGCCCCGGGGCTCCGCGGGCGCTTCCGTCGAGCCCGCGCCGCCCCACGCGCTCTGCACGGCACCCAAACGGGCGCTCGCGGCAAGATGCGGGACACAGCCCGCGCCACCCGTCTTTGTCCGTTCCGCCCTCCACACTCACCCGGCGGCCACCGCTCGCCCGAAGCCAGGCGGCAAGAGCAAACGCCGCCCGACGCGAAAAAGGAATCAGAGGCGTTTCTCGTCAAAGCAGACTTTATTGGGGCGACGGGGCCGCCCCGCGCGCGCCGGCCGCTCCCCGCGCGGCCCCCGCGCCGCCCACCGGCCTCAACCCCGCTCCCGGCCGGCCCCTTCCTCCCTTCTCCTCGGGCTCCCGCCCCCGTGGTGCCCGGGGCCGCGCGGACCGCTCACCGGCTCCCGAGGCGGCGGCTGCAGCGGCGACACCCCGCTCCCGAGTGCGGCCCGGGCCCGAGGCAGCGCGTTTTGTGGCTGTTGCACCGCGGAGGGCGGGAGCCGCGCGACACCGAGCGGCGGGAGGCAGCGGCAGCGGCGGCGGCGCGCTGACGTCACGCGCCGCGGGCCGGCCAGCCAGCGCGCGTGCGGGCGGCCCCGCCCCCGGTCCCACCGGCCCCAATCCAGGAGGAGCCCGGCGAGTGGGCGGGGCCTCGGCAGCCAGCGGGCAGATCGATTGGCAGAGAAGGAGGAGCGAGAGGGCGAGCGGGCGAGTGGCAGTGAGGCGGGGCGGGCTGAGGCCAGCGCGGAAGTCTCGCGAGGCCCGGCCCGAGCAGAGTGTGGCGGCGGCGGCGGCGGCGAGATCTGGGCTCGGGCTGAGGAGTTGGTATTTGTGTGGAAGGAGGCGGAGGCGCAGGAGGAAGGGGGAAGCGGAGCGCCGGCCCGGAGGGCAGGAGGAGGCGCGGCCAGGGCGGGCGGTTGCGGCGAGGCGAGGCGGGGAGCCGGGACGAGCAGCGGCCGAGCGAGCGCGGGGCGCACCAAGGCGAGGGAGGCGGGGAAGCCCCGCCGCCGCCGCGGCCGCCGCGCCCGCCCCTTCCCCCGCCGCCCGCCCCCTCTCCCCCCGCCCGCTCGCCGCCTTCCTCCCTCTGCCTTCCTTCCCCACGGCCGGCCGCCTCCTCGCCCGCCCGCCCGCAGCCGAGGAGCCGAGGCCGCCGCGGCCGTGGCGGCGGAGCCCTCAGCCATGGCCTCGGGCGACACCCTCTACATCGCCACGGACGGCTCGGAGATGCCGGCCGAGATCGTGGAGCTGCACGAGATCGAGGTGGAGACCATCCCGGTGGAGACCATCGAGACCACGGTGGTGGGCGAGGAGGAGGAGGAGGACGACGACGACGAGGACGGCGGCGGCGGCGACCACGGCGGCGGGGGCGGCCACGGGCACGCCGTGCACCACCACCACCACCACCACCACCACCACCACCCGCCCATGATCGCGCTGCAGCCGCTGGTCACCGACGACCCGACCCAGGTGCACCACCACCAGGAGGTGATCCTGGTGCAGACGCGCGAGGAGGTGGTGGGCGGCGACGACTCGGACGGGCTGCGCGCCGAGGACGGCTTCGAGGACCAGATCCTCATCCCGGTGCCCGCGCCGGCCGGCGGCGACGACGACTACATCGAGCAGACGCTGGTCACCGTGGCGGCGGCCGGCAAGAGCGGCGGCGGCGGCTCGTCGTCGTCGGGCGGCGGCCGCGTCAAGAAGGGCGGCGGCAAGAAGAGCGGCAAGAAGAGTTACCTGAGCGGCGGGGCCGGCGCGGCGGGCGGCGGCGGCGCCGACCCGGGCAACAAGAAGTGGGAGCAGAAGCAGGTGCAGATCAAGACCCTGGAGGGCGAGTTCTCGGTCACCATGTGGTCCTCAGGTGAGCGCCGGCCGCGCGCCCCGGCCCCGGGATGTTTTTGTTTTGAAGGGAAGCCATGTTTTATGTGTGTGATGGGCGCCGCCATCTTCTTCGCCAGGGCAAGTATGGCGGCCCCAAAAGATGGCGGGCCGTGCGGCGGCGGGGGCGCGGCGGCGGCGGCGGCGGGCGGCGGGCCGCGAAGATGGCGGCGGGCGGCGGGGGGAGGGGCCGGCGCCGCCCGGCTAGGCCGCAATGGCGTAGTTTCTCCGAGAGGGGGAAGCGTCGCGTGGGGCGGGGACGGCCGGGGGAGGGGCCGGCGCGCTCGCTCCCCCGCGCCCGCACCAACGGGCGCGCCCGCCAGCCCGTTGTGGCGGCCGCCGCGCGCCCCCGGCCCGGGCGGGCGTTGGCGGGGCTGCGCCGCGGCCTCGCGGGCCGGGGACTGCCGTCTCCGGGACGCGCGCCCCCGCCCGGCGCTGCCGTTCCCCCGCCGGCCACTCGGGGGCGCCGCGGGCGCTTGCCCCGCCCGCCCCCAACTTCTCGGGACTCCCAACTGCTCGCGGGAGGCACTTTCCAGAAGGGGCGACGCGGCGCGCGTGGGCGTCTCGGGCCTCCTTGCTCCCCGCCCACCCAGCGCCGGGCTGGACCGTGCCCCGGCGGTCACGCTCGCCTGAGGCGTCGTTTGCTGCGGGGCGGGACTTGGGCTGCACGTAGGGCTCGCGTGTGCGGGCTCCGAGCGTCAGTCTGAGCCTGTCACCGCCGTTGCCAGCGAATTCCTGGCCTTTTCGTCGTCCTGCAGTACCTAGTGGAAAGGGCCTGTGAATCTTAGCGGATAATTTTTAGTCACTTAGATTTTGGGAAAGCTTCCCCCCCGCCCAAGTATTTAGCTCTTTGTGAATAGGTTGGGTTAGTTTACTCGACTGTGGACCTTTGCTAGTAAATAAAATCGGGTAGTTTAATTTTAGGCCTCTATGCGTTTTACTTTGTATGTAGAAAGGTACCTGTTTTCCCCATGAAAAGAAAGATGCCAGAAAGCAAAGTTTTTCTGGGGGGTTTTGTTTTACCGTTTTAATACTTTTAACGAAGGTCAGAAAAGCCATCTATATAGCAAAAGGATATTATCTGCAGGTGTAAATTCTTTATCTTTTCTTTACAAAGGTAATTATTAATTCAGTGCTGATTTTAATGTCAGTATCCTATTAGTATATTTATATACTACCTAGCTAAATTGCTGAGATACTAAAAAGACTGAGAATAATTCTGACATAGTAGTTAATCTAACGCCTGTGATGATTACGTTTAATACTCCATTTAAGTGGTGGAGCCCCTTCCCCTATAGTTACTTTAAAGCTACTTCATAAATTCTTAGAACTGGATGGAGACTCAAAATATGGTGAGTATTAAAAGATAGACTTCAGAGAAATGTATGAGATAGAAATGAAGAGGCTGCACTGAAAAAGCTAGCTTGCTTGTATATAGTGAAAGTCTCGAGGTGAGACAACTACCGCTGGATGGATCTGTGATTGAAAGAGGCCAGAGCAAAGGAGTCGAGGAGCTGTCAAAACCTAATAGGAAGTGGTAACAGGCGCTCTCCTGCCTCCAAGGTGCCTAGTAGAATTCAAGTAGTTTGAGTTTAGCAGAAACCATGTTTAAATGAAACATGAGTATTTTACTTAATGGTTGTCAGAAGATAACTTCCATGTATTTTGGTAGCTCAAGAGATTAAACACTGATCATATTGGAACTAATAGTCATGGTTTTGGCAGGGTGCGGTGGCGCACACCTTTATTCCTAGCACTTTGGGAGGCAGAGGCCAGCGGATCACTTGAGGTCAGGAGTTTGAGACCAGCCTCGCCCGCATGGTGAAACACTGTCTCAACTAAAAATACAAAAATTAGCCAGGCGTGGTGGCGGGCGTCTGTAACCCTAGCTACTCTGGAGGCTGAGGCAGGAGAATCACTCGAACCCAAGAGGCAGAGGTTGTGTGAGCTGAGATGGTTGTGTGAGCTGAGATTGCGCCACTGCCCTCCAGCCTGGGTGACAGAGTAACACTGTCTCAAAAAAAAAAAGTCTTTTTTTAAGATACATTAACCACTAAAAGAGTATATTTTTTCTCGTGTGTGGAATTAGAGTAATTGAGAAAACCGACGTATTTTTACATGTTCTGCATTTTATCTTAGCAAATTGCTGGCCCACTTTTTTTACACCCAGAGAACTTGGTAGTGTATGGCTTTGCTTGATGAAGTGGTAAGTATCAAGTCAGCCAGTTAGGGGAAAAAGTCTGAGGGGCTTGACTGATGGAAGTTAATGTACAATTAAGTAAGCATTTAAAAGTCTTTACTTCCCCTGTGCAAGAGGTTGCTATTAAGGTGGCACAGTTTGAGGTTGTTTTCACGTCCATTTCTTTTTCTTTTTTTTTAATTTGAGACAGTCTTGCTCTGAGACAGGCTGGAGTGCAGTGTTACGATCTTGGCTCACTGCAACCTCCCCCTCCTGGGTTCAAGTGATTCTCATGCCTCAGCCTTCCAAGTAGCTGGGATTACAGGCGTCCACCACCACCTCTGGCTATACTGTCCATTTCTTTAAAGTGTTGGTTGTCTAGTTAGTGTGGTAGAATATTCTGCATAAAGATGGTTATAAGTATTTAATGGCAGTAACATAGGATGGCCTGTTTCCTCGGGCATGTGTTTTGTGGTAGACTATACCCCTTCCTTGTCCTTGTGGTTTGAAATTATTACTGAAGAGAAGCGAGAGTTTGTGGATAATAATGCATTTCCCAAGTTCCAATTCTGAAAATGATTTTATCTTCAGAACTGAAATGACGCGATACAGTCAGTATAATTCTGTAACAAACGGAGGAATGAAAGTTGGGCTAAATTTGTATGTATATGTACATATAGGTTGAGTATGGTAGGCAGCATGACTACTTTTGTGCACTTGATCTCATTTGATCCTAGGCAGGAAGGTTTTAACTACACTGTATTTTCACTAAAATAGCCCCTTAGTTTGGAATGAACTGTGAAGTAACAGTTTTCATAAGTCCCAAGCTGAGTTACTTGAAGTCCTTGTAAAAATAGCTGTACACGTAGTTACTAGTCTAGGTACTTCTTAGCTAGTTTAAAAAACAAAAAATTAGGTTGGGTGCAGTGGCTCACATCTGTAGTCCCAGAACTTTGGGAGGCCAAGGCAGGAGGATCGCTTGAGCTCAGGAGTTCGAGACCAACCTTGGCAACATAGTGAGACCCCCATCTTTGCAAAATAAAAATAAAAATTATCCAGTTGTGGTGGCATATGCCTGTAGTCAGTCCCAGCTACTTGGTAGGCTGAGGTGGGAGGATCACCTGAGCCTGGGAGATCGAGGCTGCAAGTGAGCTGTGATTAAACCACTGTATTCCAGCCTGAGGGAAAGAGTGAGATGCTATAAAAAAAAATAGTGGGAGTCACCATATTTCTGGAAACTAAATATTTGGATTTTTATGGGTTTCTTTTGCTTGCATGTCATCTTCCTTTAATTTCCCACAGTAACAGCACTCTGGTAGGCATCTTTTGAATGTAACATCGGCATAGGAATCTAATAGTTTTTTTAGTAGTTTTAAGCCTTAAAGGGTCCCTAGATATCTGCTTTTTTCGCTCTCTTTTTACTATTATTTTTTTGAGATGGGGGTCTCACTCTGTCACCCAGGTTGGAGTGCAGTGGTGAGATCTCCGCTCACTGCAGTCTCTGCCTCCTGAGTACCTGGGAGGTACTAATTTTTTTTTTTTTTGAGACAGTCTCATTCTGTTGCAAGGCTGGAGTGTGGTGGCATAATCTTGGCTCACTGCAACCTCTGCCACCTGGGTTTAAGTGATTCTTCTGCCTCAGCCTCCTGACTAGCTGGGACTACAGGTGTGCGGCACCACGCCCAGCTTTTAGTAAAGACAGGGTTTTACCATGTTGGCCAGGGTGGTCTCAATCTCTTGACCTTGTGATCAGTGCCCGCATCGGCCTCCTAAAGTGCTGGATTATAGGTGTGAGCCACTGCGCCTGGCCCCCGCTAATTTTTTATTTTTGGTAAAGATGAGGTTTCACCATGTTGCCCAGGCTGGTCTGAGCTTAGGCGATTCACCCCGCTTAGCCTCCCAAATTGTTGGGATTACCGGCCTGCATCCCCCAACACACACTTTTTTTTTTTTTTTTTGAAACAGTCTCATTCTGTCACACAGGCTAAAGTGCAGTGGCACAATCAACAGCTCACGGCAGCCTCGATCTCCTGGGCTGAAGCAATCCTCCCACCTCAGCCTTCCTAGTAGCTGGGACCTCTGTGCATCTGGGAGTTTTTTAGTTGTTGCTTTTTAAATTAGAGATGGGGTCTTGCCTTG